AGAAATTTTCTCCAAAGTCATATGGCAACACTGAACACCGTCTGTTTACATTTCCTTTTCCTATGTATAACAGCCGCAGTTTACGATTACCGTACGTTCCGTATCCGACAAGGCGGACAACGGGAAGAGTCAGAAGTAACCCGGACATGTCTTACATTTTATTATTGTCAGTTCGACTCGCGTAGTCAATTATTCAATATACTCGCATATATTGTCGACTAAAATAGTAGAACTATTTTAGCTTTCTAAAGTACGGCGCACGGCGGCCAGCGCATTTTTTTACCAACGTAGTACGGCGCACCGCGCAGGTCGTTAAAATGACAAAATAAATTCCCGCGCACAGGCCGCACCTGGCACATCTTCCTGACCATGGGGCAAGAATAATGAACAGCAAGATTACAGTATGAGAAGACACGGTTGCAACGACAGTGGGAATGTGGGATGATGTTGAAGTCGACAACAGAAAAGGATTTAGGAGTTAATATCAACAATGAGTTGAAATTTTCTAAGCATATTGAAGGTCAAGTTAATAACAGTATAACACCAATCAACGACTTGGACTGATCACTGATCAGACGCTCTTTAAAACAGCGTTGGAACACATCCATGCGACAACATTTCTTCTCGCTAGTCGCTTCGAGTCACCGGCATGTGGAACAGCCTCCCTGATAGCATCGTTGACGCTCCGAGAATGAACATCTTCAAAAACAGACTACCTAGACGAAGCTATGCAGGAGCAGGAGCATATGTTCAGTCTTAAAATGCCTAGCATTAGCAAATTACGGATCAGGCAATAAGTTCAGCAGCTATCTCAATCAATCGTCAGCTATGGAAAGATCGGGTTCCAAAGGCCGGATCCCTTGTGAATCACGTCACGAAAAGTTCAAGAATCGGCAACAGGCCATGGGCCTATTTCTTCAACGCCGACACTTCTATTCTATTCTATTCTATTCTATTCTATTCTATTCTATTCTATTCTATTCTATTCTATTCTATTCTATTCTATTCTATTCTATTCTATTCTATTCTATTCTATCACAGTTCAAACGAGACTCCGGAATGTCCGGACCGTAACTTAGACGCGTTCAACAGTAAGCTGCCGACTGCTTCTTCGCACGCATAACGAAACCACGGAATTTCTAGAAAATGCATAAAGTTGAGGTCTCGGATAAATTCACGGCCGGACCCGCGGCCGGTTTCGCGGCCGAAAGGTTTTCTTGGTGTTTTTATGGGTTTCTCTAGGTTTTTTGAGTTTTTAATGGAACTTGTTCCTAACTGGACCTAACCTGCGAGGTTTTCATTGATTGGCTAGGTTTTTTCTATGTATGTAGTCCGGCGGCCGCGAGACCGGCCGCGGGTCCGGCCGTAAATTTGTCCGAGACGTATAAAAGTTGTAGCCTGAATTTTTTATTAAAAGAAATATTAAAACAACAAATAGCTTTAAAGATATTCCCTTATCAGGCTTATGGATGGAGATAACTCCCTTTTGAGTAGATTAGCTAATACGTCTTAATTAAGAGCTTGTAAACATTTATTGTTAGAATTTAAAAGACCAAAAAACAGTAAGGAATATGTATGAACAGTTTTTATATAAACGTGTTATAAACAGTTGTTATCATATCTGTACGCGTTTAGTTCATTTGTATTCATTTTAAATGAAAGTCACCAGAAATAAAAAACAGTGAGCAGAAATTATGATTTCTTGCAAATAATTTTTCTTACACCGGGAAACAAGAATTGTTAGCAGTTTCGGAATGCATAAATCATTAAATTTTGATCTTAATATTGAGTGGTTAAGAGCAAAGAGTGTAGTATGGAGAAGGAGCATTTTAAATACTGCAAATGTACGTGAGAGGTGTCGTCGATCAGTTCCAATAGTACTGCAGTTGTTAAATCTTGGATTGCTATGCAGGATCTACATGACCTCAGTTCGCAACAACTTTAATTCTTCTGCTTAATCTGACCCCAAAAGATCCTAATATAATAATTAGTTAGTCGCCAAAAATAAAAACCGCTGCAAAACTAATTTACACTAATCTGAACTGATGCAAAACTGATTTACACTACTTATTTCCTTTATTTCACTCAAACCTTCAACGCTCACCAAAAGTTGACCATCGAATTAACCATCGTCGCTTTCAATGTTAAATTTCGATATCGTGAAAATCTATTTCGATTCGAAAGAAGAGTTGCTGGCGGTAAACGATCTACGAAAATGCGTTGCACTCGAAAATTTAGAGCTCACAAAAAATATTAGACTCTCAAAATATCTAACACGAATTGAATTAAACAAACTCTAAAATTACAACGAAATGAAGTCTCACTGTAGTTATGCGATAGAGACGAGAAAATATTCCAATTAGTACCTTTATCGTGTCTTCTATCATATAAAAATCTACTAACAGAATACAAATTTTCGAGTTGACACTTCATTGTATGTTGGTAAGCAAAATCTTACACCAATGATTCGGTGCGCAAAATTCTGGAGCCATATCACACCAGTATACTTTTATTGCACTCTGTTAACAGTATAAACAGTTTTTTGTGTTTGTATTTCAGTTAAAATTTGTTAAACATCTATTAGTACCGCATTTCGTTTTGGATAGATGATATTCATTTCTATCGCCCAGACCTTATTGAATCATAAATTTATTACACGGCTGGTTCCCAGCTCTTTAACGAAAATATCATACTGTTGCCTGCTGTAAGTTTGGTGTTTAATAAAACTTGCAAAATTAGTGATAAAATTTGCCAAAGGACCAAAATGTTTTGAAATTTATATAGTTTCCGGGAGACCAGCGAAAAAAACACTAGGCAGACTAAAAACACTAGGCGTAGAAGTGTTATTCTTATTATAAAATAGGCATTAAACCCAGGAGTGAAATTGGATGCATTGAATACAAAAATGATAATTTATTTGTTAAAATATCGAGTAAGAATTAAAAACAAAGGCGGAAAAAAATGATTCCGTTCAAGAATCAATGTTGTGATTCGGGTATAATTCGAAGTTATCCCTTGAAGTTATCCCGGGGTGGCCCAGTGGTTACAGTTCAGAGTACCAAGATTGGCGCAGAGAGACGCGGGTTCGATCCCAGCTCTGTGCGCCAGTTTCTGGTCAGAATCGGCAAGGAGGCCAGGCGGTTAAGCGAAGCAGAATTGTAGCAGTGAGTTGCGAGTTCGAGACCGCAGCGAGCTGTGAATGTTCTGCGATGTTAAGAATCGGCGACAGGCCTACGGCCTAATAAACGCTGAAACCGCTATTATTATTTGACATTTCCTGCTGCAATTGCAACTATTTCGAAAAAGCTCCAGCAGTCAAGTCAAGAAATTGACACCTCAGACCACGCTTTTCTTATGAGCCAACAATCTAACGGCAAGAAGGCAAGAATATTTTAATCAAGGAATAACTTTCAAGAAGTAGTTAGAAAAATCACGGCCAATCAAGAACAACGAAGAAGAACCACAAGATTGTTACTTATTCTTATATAATCATTCCTTGAATTTAATTGTTATGCTTCAATTGCTTCTTTCGATGCTTGCGAGACAAAGGAATTCAGTGCAACAGAGAGACCAAGCGCACTGAATGCTTGTCCCGGACAAAAATTTCCTACAATAAAAATTTTTTGTACAGGATCGTATATCCTGAGGTGTGGTTTGTGGTACCTTCCTGTCTACTTTTCCAGAGCTCAGAGGTATCGCAACAGCAGTACGGATCATGGTTGTGTATTAATTCAACCATGAGCACGGATCATCAATGTGAACTAAAAAAAATCGATTCAACATTCAACATTGCTTGAATGAGGTCGCAATTTTTCGCCGTTTGCTTATCTTCGTAGCTCAAAATTTTTTAACCATAAATTCCATATTCCTTCATTCTATTCATAAAGTTTCATTCAAAGGATTGATGCTATCATGAATGAACTAATACTTTATAGCTCAAACATGAATACTATTTACACAATCAAGTTCAACCGAAATCAACTAGCATGCAGCAGAACGACCTGTTCTCTTCGTAGACTTGCTGGGAACCTGCCGTATTGGTTTTTGCGATATAATTAGATTTAAATATAGTCGACCCGAAACCAAATACGTATTAGTCAAACACAGACAGAAATGTAATACATACGATAAAAAATGATTTAAAAATGGTAACAGAGTGCAATGAAAAAAAAACCGTTGAGCGACGTTAAAACTGTGCGCGAATGTGTCGGACTGGTGCACTGGAAAAAAAATCGTAATAGCTTTAGCCTTCGAGTTTGATGGTCACAGTGTGCATTGTAAAAAAAATATAACTCAGTACTCACTGCAGTGAGTGGCAGAGAGCGCATTTTCCCGTCGACAAAAACGGGAAGTCACGGACGGACAGGCAGACAGACGGACATGGCGAGCACAATAGGGCCTTTTTCTCAATAAATGAGAAAATGTGCTAAAAAAGTAATTTTACGAATGCCCTAAAATCATTACGCAGATGTACTAAAATTCAGAATTGTCAATGAAAAGTAACCAACCATCTTATCGGAAATGGTCAAATGGATGAGGACTCGAGAAACTGTTGCTCCCTATCATCAATCCTATGTATATAAAAAACTATGTAACTAAAAAACTATCCTATGTAAAACGCAATATAACTTGAATGAATAATCAGCAAAAATTCGCAAGGCAGGCGCAATAAATTAGGAATGTTTTAACCTAAGTTCTAAATCTTCCCGTCAGCGCGACATTTTGGTTCAAGTGATAGGTACATATACTGGCACTGCTCCCTGCAACGGCGAACGAAAATAGAAATGGAATCTTCATCCAGAATTTGACAGAAAAAATTAATTTATATACGATTATACGCAAATAGAACTGGCCAATAGAGCTGGTAAGGTTCTCAGCGTAGCTTGGATACGCTCAGAGGAGCAATGATTCTCTTCAAAATTTATGTAAATTAAACTGTTTTTGCCACACAACACAGTTAACACGCAAGAATAATTGGTTATGTATGAAAAAAAGCAGGAGAGGTATAAACAAATTTAATTAAAATCCAAATAAATCGATAACTTCAGAGGCGTGCCCTGAAAAATTATCAAGTTGCTTCAAAGCTTCTTAAATTTTCAGCGGTTGTGTCATCATTATGGAACTAAATATATTCAGGGAAGACAGCAAGAAAGAAGAGAGAGAGTTTTCAAGTAATTAAAATTACGAATAAGAACAAGATTTCAGAGGTAGTCTCGTAGAGTGAACAAACGTTGCTTTGTTAGCATGGCTCTCATGATACGCTGCCAGAGTACCTTGATAGTTGCTGAGATGTAGCGCAGACTATTCGCCAGATAGAAATGACATTCTGAGATATTAAAGACAATACAAGCTAAAACTTAAAATTCTTTTTTGATGGCGAGAAAGTAACAAATTATAATTTTTGTTGGCGCGATAGCTAGGAGCTAAATTTTTTCATACAGAGATTCGACCTCAGAGCTTAACTATTATACAAATAATACGTAACAAAAAATTTACATTTATCAACTCTAAGTACAGATAAGGAGAGGAGAAGCCGTTTAAATTATTGAACAAGTAAGAGCTCAGTCAGGTCAGTAAACTGCCTACGAATGGCACGGGTCTTCAGTGACCTGCCTATACCAATTTGAGTCAAAACCTAAGAACGTACATATCACAGATATAAATTGAACTAAACATGAGCGTAGTCTCCTGGGAAACACACGGGCAAAACTGTCGCACCCACCACTTGCAGGGACAATTAACAGTATCGTAGTAGTTTGCCAGCTAAAGACAGCAGATGAATGCATTAAAACAGTGAAACGTTGGGCGCTGCCGCGCTAAAAAATATCGTCGGCAAACTCAATCATTTAAATAAAAATTTACACTGGAACGAGCTATATAATTAAAAGCATAAGCATCTGTATAATTACTGATGTCGGAAATTGGTCATCAATTTGTAACTAGTTCCTTTAAAAGTACGCGTGCATTGGAGCTATGGAACAAAGCAACAAAGGAAGAAGTTTTAAACTATAAATAAAGTCCAAATCAAATCGTCAAGAAAGAAGACTAGTAAATAATAGTTATATTCAAGTATTTTACTGTTGAGCGTCGATTTTAACCTATCATGTTCTCGCCAAAATACGGACTATCTTATGCTAAACTTGGCCACCAAATTATTTAACTCAATATCACAACCACTCTTGAGATTTGTGACATGGCATAATTAAAAGTAAAGTCAAGAGTTGCAGCCGACCAACATCGCCTTGATCCGTTCAAAAAGATAAGCTCCCAGATCAATTAATACAAACACTAAACGGCGTAAAAATGTTCATTGGAAGATATCTTGCTTGATTCAAGGCTGATGACGTAGCCAGTCTACCGGCTGCAATGAGAGCTTTGTGCCGACGAGCGTTACTTGGAAGGCTCACAGTCTTCGCAGTACCACGAGTAACCACGACGCTTGGGGGTTTTCTTCAGGGGAGGTTCAAGGCAGTTGAAGTGGTATGCCTTGTGACATTCGTCGCAACTGCGGGATAGCAGTAAACATGAGTCGTATGCTTTATTATAATAATTTTCCTTCTTCTGCTTAAGAAGGTAAGAAATTTTCCAAACGATAAACTAGAACACAGTGGAATAATTCACACTAACCAATGTCGCAAATTCAATCATCAAACATGCATAACCTCGATCCAGTCAATAAACCAAGCCAACTTCTTAGTCAGTATGACGCTCTTCCATATCTCAAGATAGTTCAATACAACGACACAACATCAAATAACCAAGTCAGCATTTACATTGAATTAAAGTTCTAAGTTGAAGAAGACATTAGGAGCAGTGAAGACTAACCTGACCGTATTTGTTACCCCGCCGGTCTCGCCACAAACGTCGCACTTGCTGAACTGCTGGCTGCACCCAGCGCTGCCGCCGTCGCTCTTACGACGAGAGCACGCATCACCCTTCACAGTAGCAAATAAATTCACATAAACCTTATATTCGAACTTTTAATTCATTCAAGTCTTCTCGCCAAATTGACAGAAACAACAAAAATGTAACAAAGTATTCTACGCTCGTCAACAAAACCTGTTCCTGCTCTACAACTCACTAATATCAAAACCGTAATAAAATTTGCGGAAGCAAATCAGCAGAGGATTCAGCAATCAGCAGAGGAAAATTCCACTTACTAGTGCCTGTTAATGCAGAACTGGTAATAAATCAGAAGAGCTCAAATCATACTTTTTGTGTGCTTTGTAGAGTTAAATTAATCACTACTGTGACCAAAGTTGTTGAAGTTAAAATCGAAAGAATTGATGACCGCGCATAATCTTCTTGCATAAAACCCAGTCATTAGACAAGCATGGATCATCAGTACTTGCACTTCAAGAGGAGTTAAACCAAGATGGTTGGAGGTAAACATGCAGCAAGGTGGCTTGTAAAACAAAGACCACTCCAATACAATGTTGCACGAGCAGACCAAGCGTCTCACCATGGCAATGATGCTTTTGTGGTGCATAGAATAACAGCCAATGCCTATTTTACTGCAAGATAATCAACGAGCAAGTTTTGAGATTGAAAAGAAAACAAACCGCAGTGGTTGGAGATGCAGAAGTTTTATCAGATGAAGGACGCTGTAGCATGGGTTGGGTAAGGGTGTACCCAGGAGGAAGGTTTGGGTAGCCAGAAGGAGGAGGAGACACCCGACTGCTGCTCTCACTGCTACTGTTGCTGCTCTCGCTTGCGTGGGACGTGGCACTTGCCGGTGCGCAGCCCACTGTAAATAATGGTACTGTGAACAACAGGAGCCATGGCAGGGTCACTGAAATATTATTAATTACATATGACAATTATACTAAAATCAAAAGTGTCAATGCCACGACTGCTGAAATATTACTGAGGCTGTAGAAATTTTGTATAATCCACGGAACCAGAACTGAAATATAATTGATCACACTGAAATTATTAACGGATCACTGAAATATTATTGATTACATAAGACAATTATACTAAAATCACAAGTGTCAATGCCTCGACTGCTGAAATGTTACTGAGACCGTAGAAATTTTGTATAATCCACGGAACTAAAACTGAAATATAATTGATCACACTGAAATTATTAACGGATCACTGAAATATTATTGATTAGATAAGACAATTATACTAAAATCAAGTGTTGATGCCACGACTGCTGAAATATTTACGACGCTGTAGACATTTCGTATAATCCACGGAACCAAAATATTTCGGAATTAGACGGCATTTTTCTAACCGGTTGAGGCAGCACAGGCGTCATCAAGACTTGAAGAGGACGAAGAGGGGAGCAAGACGTTAGCGGTGGAGGAGGAGGCGTTGATTTCTATGATGGTGCACGAGGGGGGGTCAGGGGTGACACCCTCGCTGGGACGCGGAGGCAGCGGTTTGATCTGGAACATTGTGGTTGAACTTGCATAATTCCATTTGTTAACTTAACAGAAGCCACATAATATATAACTTACTTTAGACCAGAGCAGGATAACAATTCATGAGTAGACCATTAGAAGAGATTGATGGTATCAACTCTACAGGGCGGGGCAGCAGTAGTCAGATCTGGTATATTGGCAGTCGCATGTATGCAGACTGCCTGGTTCATTTCATGATTGATGTAATGGGATAATTATCAACATCAGGCCATATATAACCGTGAAAACAAAGTAGGCTTCAATAATCAAACCTGTCAAAGTTTTACTAATTGGGAATATTTTGCATTACATTATGTCAAAGAATGTAGTGGTACGAATTATGAATGTTCTGTTATTATGCGAAGATTACCTATAAACTCTAACAGGACAAGTTTATAATGGAAAAAATAATCTATATTTTGAAGGAAATAATGTAACTCGGGAATTTATAATTAAAAGTTAGCGCATAAAAACAGCCCTAATGAGAAAGTGTATCGGGCTGTACAACATTCTCATCATGCAAGGTTCAGCATCAGAATTTCACTCAAAAACAGAGGCTGTGTGTACAGAACGTAGTTCAAAAACGAATAATTAGATTACTTGTCACAAATTTCAGACTTGCTGCTGATAAGTGCGACCGTATAGTCGACGTTACTTGAATGGGTTTCCGGCTTTTAACCGCTGATAGTCTGGTTGCCTCTCGGGTTGTCTTAAATAACTGCCAACGCGGTCATTGCTTTGACCCCGGCCGTACAGGAATGTAGCGAAAACCTGGGGCCATACTTTCAAAACTCGCTAAGTGAACGTAAGTACTTACGCTCTATTTTCTTGTCTATGATTGGTGAATTTTGCTTGAAAGGCCGTCAATGATTGGCTGATGAACTTACGACCTCTTAACTTTTTTTGAAAGTATAGTCCCTGGTCTTCATTTGTAGATTCTCTTACAGGGATCGTAGCTGTATCAATGAACGTGAATTTATTGCGATTGGTACTGTTCGGAAACGGGCTAGCGGACGGCCACCCGGCCGCGGGCCATCATGACAGAACAACCTTCGGCGCGAGAGAACAACCTTCGGCGAACAACCTTAGCTAAGTGAACGTAAGTACTTACGCTCTATTTTCTTGTCTATGATTGGTGAATTTTGCTTGAAAGGCCGTCAATGATTGGCTGATGAACTTACGACCTCTTAACTTTTTTTGAAAGTATAGTCCCTGGTCTTCATTTGTAGATTCTCTTACAGGGATCGTAGCTGTATCAATGAACGTGAATTTATTGCGATTGGTACTGTTCGGAAACGGGCTAGCGGACGGACACCCGGCCGCGGGCCATCACGACAGCAGCAGACCGTACTTGACGTAACAACCTTCGGCGCGAGTTTTAGGGTCCTTATATACGCCGCCATCACGCAATCTGGACTGATGGAATCCCAGACTGATCGATTCCCCGAGAGATGGAATTTCTAACGCTTGGTCTCGAGAACAATCGTGCCACACACTACACCATTTTAACCCACATTCCAGTAGCCTTCTCAACTCCCTAACTCTCAATTAAATTTATAACTGAAGTAATCTAGTTATTTGCCCTTGAACTACATTTTATCATTACAACTGCATATCATTAGTCAGCAATGCTGAGTTGAGTATGTTAGTTTTTGTGTATATAGACTTACGTTGATCTTTTTATCAGTAGTTAATTCTCTGAAGCTGTCTCAACACTCGGAAAAAACTTCGATTCAGCACAAACTCACAACAAGAGTGACACTGAAATATCAACTTCACGGATGAAAACGTCTCAATTTACTAAAAGATACTTCTGATTTTTTTTTTGTAAATTCCACTTAAAATTAGCCAACATTAACCACCTAGTGAACAAAAAAAAATTTCAGAAAGAGAAAGAAAATTTAGGCTACCAAATAATTAGTATATTTGAAACCCATTGAAAAATCTCCGGATTCAGAGAACTTGGGGAAAGGACAAAAATCCTTTAGTTTCAAGACTAACAACCCAAAATAAAACTTCCGTACTTTCAGACTGAGTGGCAGCCAACAAAGCAATCCTTGACAGAGTTTTGGACAGATTAATTTTCAGTTTTAATCCACCTTATAAATAATATACAGAAAAAGATAATTTAGAAGTATAGAAGTTAAACTAAGGCTAAATGAAGAGTAACAACCTTGAGTCGCAGAGGAGCTAGCATCTCCGACGTCTGGTTGCTCTGCCAGTACGAGTGGTGGTGCTTCTTGCGACGCTTCTCACCGCTCTTCTCTTTATCTCGCTCCTTCTCCTTCTTCTTTTTCTTGGATCCATCTCTGTGTCGCTTTTCTTTCCTGAAATTAGATATTCCGATTATGCACAAGTCTAGATTACAAATGAATCTCTAAAAATAAATACACATCATAAAGATATGCCAAATAAAACAACAAAGCACAATTGATTGCCTTTGGACAATTTTCGCCGCAGATCAAGTTCAAAACACATATATTACTTTTGAAGCAGCATGAGTTTGCGACTTGCAATAATATGGTGACAGGGCCGAGTGAAGGAGTGCGACTGTGAGAGGCACACATAAATGCGATAACTAATGCGGCAGATAATTTTCGTCACTTGATCACGATCTACACATGAACATTGAAATATTCATTGAAATGCTGAAAATATGAGAGCAGTTTCTTAACAGACTTAATGCAGGCTAAGGCCAAGTACTCTAAGCTTTAGTTTAGTCAAGAAATGAGAGGCTAAACATTTCTTTTAAGTTAGTTATTGAACCGAATTTAATGAGCCCATTGAAACAGACTAAAATAATCATGCCTGGGACTGGAGGCAGACACGTCTTCCTCGTGGCTTGGGGCAGAATCAGCAACAGGTGAGTGCAGAGCAGACGGTAACGTGTCAGCGCTGATGTCGAGTATAGACGGGGACGGCGAGCAGACAGATAACGCGGGCGTGACTGTGGATGGAGAGCTGACACTCAACGCTGACACGGATGAAGGGGATGTCGTGGGTAAAACGGAGGTAGGTATTGCAGATACGGGTGTGGATAAAGACGACAAGACCACAGTAGGGGCCGGAGAATAAATAGAAACAGATGATGAGGAAGAAGCTAATGAAGTTGATGAATTATTAGAAGTACTGGATGACGACGATACACAAGACTTGTTTGGATCAGGAAGCGATAAGGGTACACCCGATGCAGTATTGTCAGATGGAGTTATACTTTTTGTCACTGTACCACACGGCTGAGTCAGGTTTGTTGTTTTAGGTTCGGCACACGAAGTTTGGCACTTACTGCTGTCTTTGGTATCGTTTATAGAACTACCATCAATATGGTCTTTCTTCGCACTGGTCAAGTTGCTTTGACTCGCATCAGAAGCGGAAGGGTCTGTATTCTGAAGCGTAGGTAAATCATGCAATATTTTCTTTTGATCAGTAGGCCCGTGTTGCCCCCTGCGTGTTCTGCTACCAGGTGACCCTAGAGGAGATATTGGTGTCGCTTTATCCTGTTTAAGTTTCTCATCTCTGATAATATCCTTGGTGACGTCACTGATAACGTTCTCTATCGTCTTCCTAGCACGCTTCATTGACGACGTCGACGTTCGCTTGGCACCATCGTTGCTACGGCGTCGCTTCACCGGCGTCGTGATGGCGCTGCCACAAGCTTTGTTCTTGGTGCTCGACGCTGGCTCGGGGACAGGGGAGGAGCAAGGAGGGGGGGAGCGGTCCAGTGTCTGACAGAGCAATACATAAAACTGTACTTTTGAGACGTCATGCTGTTTGAATATTCAATATAAATAATAAAAAATATACTATGAAAATGAAAATAATAATAAATGAATACACGCCGAAGGATTTAAATCAAGAGCCAAAATCATCATTTTGACTTGTGAACTTCATTAACTATATTAAATAAAATATAATTCTCCAAAATGATTGTCACTAAATAACAGGATATTTTCTGGGTAATAAAGCAAATACTTAGAATCAACAAATACAGTGGACGCGAGATCCTAGTTATGAACACGCTAAATTTTCAGAGTAAAGACGGGAGGGGAGAATGTGATCAAACTTCAAGATAGCGAGCCCAAAGAAATCCCATGTAACATCACAAGTATTTAGTACTCGTGTGAAAATTGTATTGAATAATATCAACTGCGCTCATAAGTAAAATACACGTTTATGAAGTAGAACTGAGGTACCTTCTGCTCAGATGTGACGGAGGGCGAGAACTTGGCAGGCTCTTTGATGATCCTGCGAAGCTGTCGGGGCGCATTTGTGTCAACTTCAGGCAGCTTTTCCGAGTCTGAGGTGCGACAGCAGTCTGAACATTGCCTGCATACAGAACACGTATTAATAGTCATTACCAAGCATACAAATTGAGAAATATATGCAAGGTGGGCAGCAATGATCATGCTACTATGTCTCGTTTAGAGAATGAGAAGTTGTAATTTCAATTGAAAAAGATTAATTGAGTCAGAAATTTTGTGTGAAGCACAGCATGGCTAACAATTAAATGTATAAAATTCTTTCGACCAAAATAACAAAAAAAAAAATAAAATTAAAATAGTGATAAGTTAGCAATATTAGGAGGCAAATAGGATACTGATGAAGTATTTGAGATCAATTTCTCCAATCCATGCAGAAAGCGACCGAGCTTATGATGAAAATAGTAATTGACATCAGAGACTGTTGTTGGCCACTCGCTGTGCTAGTACTAGAATAGAGATTTAAAAATGGCAATAGAGATTGCAATGGACGAAAAAAAAATGCGGGGTTTACCATCCCATTTGTTTAGTTTTCTTTGGCATCCTAGAGAGGGGCGGGTCGAGGCAGCAGAGATGGTAGTAGAGGGCGCAAGTGTCGCATAAGATCTGCAGGTGCTGGTCATTTGTTTGCAGACACACGCTGCACGTGTGCGTCTCTCTGTCCTGTGTGGACAGTAAATAATGTTAGCTCTTCATGAAACGTGGCTGGCATATGGAATCAACAAAGAAAAACAAAACGTTTGACACAAAACATGGTACAATTGGACAAAACTAATAATACAAATTGGCAAGAAACAGTTGACTCCAGATAAAGTCCTTTAACATCTCAGCCTATTGAGTCCTTTAACATCGCAGCCTATTGAGTCCTTTAACATCTAAGCCTATCGAGTCCTTTAACATCTAAGCCTATTGAGTCATTTAACATCTAAGCCTATTGAGTCTTTTAACATCCAAGCCTATTGAGTCATTTAACATCTAAGCCTATTGAGTCTTTTAACATCTCAGCCTATTTAGTCCTTTAACATCAGTCCTTTAACATCCAAGCCTATCGAGTCCTTTAACATCCAAGCCTATTGAGTCATTTAACATCTAAGCCTATTGAGTCTTTTAACATCTCAGCCTTTTTAGTCCTTCAACATCCAAGCCTATTGAGTCCTTCCACATCTAAGCCCATTGAGTGCCCTGATAATTACACGAGAATTAGATGCTTTGGCAGGAGGCGTGGATGGCGTATCAAGATTCGGGTCTTTAGGAGTCAGTGAGGGGACGATCTCCCCCGCAGACGCGGGAGGTGCAGCTGGCGTTGACGCTGTCATCATCACGTCAGCCGGAGCCTGGCGTTCGGGAATGGTGCTCCCTATTCTCGGCCCTAACACTCCGCCTACAAAAATATTCAAAATAACAGTTTATGATATTTATAATATAAATTAAGCAATTATCAAACTGCAATCATTGATTCGGTCATCACACTATCTTTGGTCATGTAATTTCATTGGAGGTCACGTAAGAATGGATCCACTTTGTGTTCCAAAATAAAGAAATATTGTAAACAAATGATCATATAGAAATGAGAGAAGCAATTGCTACACAAAGAGTTTAACAAAAAGGCAATGAAGGAAAATATGGAAAAAAATTCCCTTTAAAGTTGTAAATCAGTTGCCAGGTAAAAAGCGTACTCATATTAGACGGTAGAGGATCAGACATCATCTTGGCAGCAGCTTTAGTGATGAGCCTCCTTGTCTCCCTGCCTCCTCCCAGGCCAGGCTGGTTATTGACTGGCGGCTCAGGCGGCGGCACTGCCGTCAATGAGTTGTGAATGGCGGCTACCACTGGAGGTAGGGGCAGTGGGCGGCCGGCAAGGCCTTTCAATATATTGTGAAGCTCCAAACTTTTAGCGAGAAGCGAGTCCTTTAGTTCGTTTTCAGCTTTATTTTCTCGCTCTGCTTCAGCAAGGAGTTCACTAATTTTCCTGTCATCTTCTGAAAGCTTTGCATTCTCAGCAAGCAGCTGCTCCAGTTTTGATTTCATCTCTTTCAGCCTGCGGCCCCTGTCGACATAATAGCTTGTGAATTCAACTGAGAAGGCCGGAGGTACGTGCCACTTTTTCCTAATATCCCCAACTGCATTAACTTCCGCCTCGTGCGTCTCAGTGGGCAACCCCATGAGTTGCGTTTTGTGCAGCAGCGTCCTGAAGAGACTGGCGCAGGTGCTGATGGATCGCGGCATCTTTTGTGTAGGGAACCACGGTGTAGGTCGAGCTGCTTTCACCTGGTCGTACTTCTCCCTATACTTCACAAGCTTCCGGTCCAGTCGGCTTTGATCTTTGTCGCTGATGACGGCACTATCGGTGTGCTTGACATGAAGCTGGAGCGTGAGCCAGTTGCGCTTGCGGCGCTTCATGAGCTCTTTGTCTGTGTGTAACTTGCAGTGAGCATAGTAAGGATCCGCTTGATCTGCTTCTCCATGGTTTACTTCTGATAAAAGGCCCTCCCGTTGTGCACACGTCACATGGAAATATGAACGGCACATGCCTGCATCACAGCCTATGCAAACGCCTGTCTTGGCATAACGAATATCCTCACACAGAGAGCAAACTTTGCTGCCCCAGCGGCTGTAGGCCATCTCAAATAACGTCGGGAAAGAGAGCTTATCCACCTGAAATACAAATATGTACTTTAGATGTTTTAATATTTGCATAAAAACATATGCATCAAACAAAAAAAAAACATCTTTACCTAAAGTTACATCATGTCATGATGTCACAGTTGGCTCAGTATCATGGAGAGAAAGTTAGCTTACCTCACTAAAAGCCACACCAGGAACGTAGAGCGCACAGACAAGATGCACCCAGCGGCCCATTTCTGTTTCTTTAAAAATGCTGTGTCCTGTAAAATTGATTAAATATGAACAATGTAGTATAATCGATTTCTAACCAGGTTATACTCGATAAATATATAATATGGACAATTATGAAGTACCGGTAATTCAATAGTGAGTTATAAAAAACACCTAGAAAATTTAAATAAGCCTTCCAAGGCTTTCATCTAACACAAACCAAAATAGGAATTGTTCTTTTGGGAACATTTTTCACAACAGACCAAATATGCAAAAAGTGTTACTGACCAAGATTTGGACAGAGCTCACAAGGTGGGTTACGAACGCCAGCTTTGCAGGCGTCACAGAACCAGGGTTCAGTGGAACATGATGACACTGTGGATGACACTGACACTGTATCACTGACACCATAGCATCCCTCATGCACGCTGACATGACACCAACCATCGCAGGTGACAATTTCATTAGCATCATCTGAGTTGTCTCCAAGACAAACAGCACACACGAGAATCTGCCGAATACAAAACATACAAGTTACACAATTAAAAAATTCTTTATCTCTAGTTTAATATCTATCATTAATCATCATTTGTATATAGAAGGCATGACAACATAAGTTAATTTTTTTGAACATTTTTATCAATGGATAAAAAGAGGTTTATGTGCCTTGAACAACCACTTAGATTAGTTTGTAAAACACATTTGTTCCTGAATAATTACTTAGTGAGACAGGCTAAATCTCTAATTAACCAATCTTGAAATGGTAAGCACATGGATATTAAACAAAATTTAAAAGAATAAATTGGTTATCTTATAAATTGCAATACACACACTACCACCAGTAAAAGTTGAAAAAAATAAGAAAAGTCTAATCCTATCAGAAAACTAAATTGGAATGGTTGACAAAAAATGATCATGGGGAGATTCATTTTGTAAGTTATTTCTACAATAAGCTCTAGCAAACAAACTTTGTGGCCATCAATCTTCTGTTTCTTCTGTGCACTTTCCAGCAACTTTTGCATGCTGAGACCATTTGTTGATGGCTGTGCATCTTCAGGCAGCATTGCATTTTCAACATCAGAATTGCTGCCATCCTCATCTTCATCATCAGAGCTACTGCCATCATCAGCATCAGGATCACTATTGATGGAGATGTCATCATCGTCATTGAGCTTTGCTTCATCAACGTTGAAGTCACTATCATCGCTGCTATCGCCCATGTCCAGGAGAGCAAGGTCTATGAGGGCAGCTTTAGACGCCTTCACTTTCCGCTTCCCAGGCTCACGATCAACTGCAAAAGTACCTTATGTTAATGTAAAATTCATATATAGAAAATATTTTCAACAGAAAATTTGTTTATGTGATAATTTATTGGCTTTTCAAATGTTATTAATTTCATCATTTTATGGGTTAATTGTTTAATTTAAATTGAAAATAATTTGTAAAAGTTTATTAGGTAAATGGTCCTTTCAAAAGAGAACAAATATATAAATCTACTTTTCACCAAGTTAGAAAAATTATTGATTTTTATTATCTATATTTTTTACATTTCAAGACATAAAATACAGATTTAAAAAAAAAATCATGAAATTATGACTTCAAAAAAGTATCCATAGAAAAGCTTGAGTAAAACTTGAAAAATTATTAAAATAGACAAAGTTTAAGCCCTTTTTTGAGTCAAAAATTGAAAATGATTTATTCTTTAGTTCAATGAATTTTCACCATTCTCTTTGCAATATTTTACTGAATGTTTAAACTGACAATGGAATGGAGCTAGAAAACATTACTACAAAACATTTTCTTTATAGATATGATGACCTTTTGTGGACATTTCTCTGCTTTTCAATTTCTAATTTCAATCATCTGATGCCAAATTCTCCTTCTAGGCCTAAAGACTTTACTAAATTCACTTTTAATTGCTCAATAGCCTGCTCAAATAGCTTCCTTCATAAAAATCACATCAAATATTACCTAAATTATTGGAACATCAGTGAATCACCATTGAAAAAAATGGTTTTCAATGGCATTTGCGAACTAATTTTCTCAATGTTTAAAATTTCAATTATGCACAATTTTTTTAAATCGGAATTGATACCGTCGTTCAAGCGCGCTTCAACTTTCAAGCTGCCCTACTACTACTATAACAAACTTCAAAGCACTGAGTGCAGTGCGACGCTAAATTGGTGATTTCAAGTGATTAAATATTTAAACGTAGATAATGATGAACTTACCCATGGCTCTGAGAAAGAGGCCCACTGAATCTGCTTTTGGATCATTGTTTGTGCCGTCTTCAGACATCTCCAGCTCTAACGTGCCAACACGTTCATTGAAGTTGTTTACCTGCGGCGTCGCGTTCGGAACTTTGGACTTGTCTGTGAACAAAACTTTACCCTAATTATTTATTTTTAACCTAAATCCACTATGGCAGCAGAAAATATAATACCTATGACAGTATTTTTGTCATTGCACTGTTATAACATAATGAAATATATTTGGTATTTGTACAAACTTGATGAACAGTAGACAAATTGGAAAAAATGTTAGTTAAAGTTTAAGTTTAAAGTGCAAGGCCTCATCAAAAATAGATCAGCTGAAGAAATCCTTGGACGAGGACAAGGCTAACGTACTTCATCAGTTCTTTAGCAATTGACTTTAACAGTATTTCAGCTATTTAGGAACGCCCAGTGTGCTCGAATTGAACAATTTTTTATATACGCGAAGAGGTTCTCGAGCGCTTGGTCTCTCGGAACCCTAACAAATCATGTGGACCAGACGGTTTCCATCTTAGATTACTAAAAAAATCAGCAACTGTTTTGGTCGGCCCTATGACTGTATTTTTCATAAGACCTTGAACGAACAGACATTGTAGGCCAATTGGAAAGAAGCAAGGGTGATACTTTTGTTAAAAAAAGTGATATTGTTCAAAAAGCGTGACCCCGGTAGCTATCGTCCTATTAGTCTTTCAAGTGTTGTTTGTAGGACTATGGAATCTGTAGTGCAAGATAGGATGACTGATCACTTGACAGTTAACCATATCCTATCAGACTGTCAACACGGCTTCATAAGCCGGCAGATCTTGCGCCACTAACATCTTGTCTACTTTGAATGATTTTGGATTTGCCTGCTGGACGAAGGCGAGGCAGTGGATGCAGTGCATCTCGATTTTGCCAAAAAAAAGTTTACAGTGTTCCGCATGAACAGCTGTTACATGTGGAACATGGGAATAGAGAGAAATGTACTTCAATGGATTAGAAATTTTCTTCTAGGTTGGCGTCGGCTGGTCAGTATTAACGGAATTTTTCAGAATGGGCATAAGTGCACAGCGGCGTGCCTCAGGGAAGCGTTTTCGGGCCAGTTCTATTCGTTGTGTTTATAAAGGAACTGCCGGAAGCAGTTGCAAGCGTGTGCTAATATGATGACGACACAAAAGTTTGTAATACAGTTATGGATGCGTCGAATAAAGGACAATTATTACCAGATGATCTTGATAGTTGGCTAGGCTGATGCACTGCAACTGGGTTTTAATGCTGTAGAGTGTAAAAAGATTTGAAGTTTTTTGTCAACAAGGAGTTGAAATTTCAAAGGCATATAGAAACACGAGTTGATAAAGTCAATGAACTGCTTGGACTCATCAGACGCTCCTACGAGTACCTGGATGCAGGAACGATGAAGCTGTTGTTTTTTGCTGTCGTGCACCCAAACCTAGAGTTTGGAAACGCCGTGTGGTCACCGAAATTAAACAATATACAAATTTAGTTGAGAGTGTTCAAAGACGTGCACCGATGATAGTTTTATGCTTGAAGGGCAAGGCTTATGAAGGAAGGTTGGCAATTATGAAGCCAATAAGTCTTTGCTATCGGCGTCTGCGTGGGGCCATAAGGAAGTATACATGTAAACCCATGTTTTCTGCAGATCCAGAAGGATTACTAGAATTTGTAACAAGAACCAACACCAAAGGCCACGGCTATAAACTAAAAAACTGCGCAGTAACTCCTCCTCACAACACTTATCGCTTCCAGTCATCGACGTATGGAACAAACTCACTGCTTGCATCGTTGGCACTTCGACTGAACTTTACGAAAAATATTGACATGATGGTTCATTATTTTTCTAAATATCTTTGGAAGCAATGACATCCATCGAATTCCTTTGTCTCACAACCATTGAATGAAGCAATTAAAGCATAACAATTCAATTCAATGTTGGATTTTCAGCAGATGCTCTAAGCTTCAACTCCAATTTTTGGATTGATCCGGTCAACAGACCAGTTCTCAGATCTTATAGCATCAAATCAGAGAAGTCAAGAAGTCATCATAGAAGTCAAGAGCATCATTAGAAGAATCGGCGACAGGCCAACTCGGCCTATTCTTTAACGCTGATATTGTTATGTATAATGGCAACATCGATATATAAATATAATAATAAGTAAAAAAGCATGACTGACAGTAGAAAATAACCACATAGTCCATCGACATAGTCCACACATGGTCCCAACGGGTACATCTGCCAACTTCTTACGTGCAAATATAATTTGGTGTGGCTTTCATTATAAACAATTTTCATTCTGTTAGTTTTTACGAAATATTTTGGAGGATCATCAATGACGGCACTCATTTTAACTCAATGCAGCCTTGTTGTTAAGACCACCAAGTTTGAAGCAGCGAATTGCGAAGCGAGATCGAAACTCATAGGTAGCTGTGAAAATTTTGGTGGCGAAACCAGAATTTTGTGTGTGGGTCACGGTTTCGTGACCCGCCGCTCGCTGTAAATACATAGAGATGCTCGGAACCGGTATCTGGTTTTGCCTGATTCACTTTCATTGCCATTCATAGTTTCATTAGGTGCATTATTTTCGTTAGTTGATTGATCATACGGCTAATGAAACGAAGGCAATTTTGACGGGTCGGTTTAAATTGGCAATTATGGCTGGGTTCGGGTGTTGGAACCAAAATTTCGTCGAGATCACAAGGCTTATTTTCTAAAATAAAACAGTTCGAAATCAACCGAAAACCTGACGCTGTTATGACTGCGGAATTTTCAGACTTGTTGATTAGTGTACGCCGTGTATCGTCCCAGACAAAATAGATTTCCGTTCTGAACTAAACTGAAGCTTAGCAGCCTAAAATTCAATTACCGCAATATGATCACTAATTTCTCTGTTGTTTTACCCGTAGCGTGCTGTTTCTCGAATAAAAATTACACTACATTATAGCTTTTAACTGGACATGAGATCACGGTTGAAAAAAATTATCAAAAAAATAACTATTCGTGTGACTTTATTACTGTGAAAAAGTCGCTGTCCACTCGTCCGTCATGCGCCTCCATCCGCAAGTGTCTTAACGATTGAACATTCCAGGCACTGACGCTCACCAAACAATGAGACAAACTATGCACCGGCCGCACTTGCAAGCCGGCCTTCATACGGAAAGGTTCAGTGCGACTCCATGGGGTGCAACAATCATCGATCTAGTGTTATTGTTGCTCCAACTATAGACGTCGCGTACGAATCAACTATTTTGCTGACAGATGATTGAAACACACGCTCTGAATTAGTGATTTTTTAGCCGTGTCTATTTTCTCGGTGCTGTAATCTTCTGAATTTTCATTTATTCGGTATCAATTAATTGTATGTTTAAAATAATGATCAGAAATTGCCAATGGAACCCTTGCGCTAATGATTAACATTCTATTGATGAAACAAAGCTCGATACAGACGAAAAATGGCCTAGGCTTGATTACTCAATAATTATTCCGGAAATGTAACTCCACATATTGGACCGCGATTATTGTAAATTAGATATTATTTTCCTGCAACAATGGGGTGTGCCCCAAGTTCTGTGGCTGATGTAGAAGAGCCCTGCAGCACAGAAAGAACTGATGCCGGCGTTGATATACAAGCAGCAGTAAAAGTTCCAACTTCAGGTTCGATTTGCAATGAAAACGTGGCTTCTCCCATATCTCACACCGAGTCAAACAAGGTTGTGCCGCTCAGTAACGACGCACTCAAGCAAAGAGGGTCCGTTCCCTCCCCTAGTGACTTGTCAGTCCGACGAACCATCAACTCGTTGAGGGGATCAGCTGGTACAGTGAGGAGCGCTAAACTCAGTCAAACTGTGGCGCCTTACGAAGCCGTGCCCATCCCGGGCTTCATGATGGACCCTGAAGACAACCTCATCATGAAGCAACGGACACTGCCAGCCATTGGGAATGAGACGACTCTAATAAACAGTAATGAGAATCCAGAGTCATGTAACGCAATGTCTGTTCATGCTCCAATATCGTCTCCTCTAGGCAGACAATCGTATAAACTGCATAACGATGAAGGTAAAGAATTTTTCGGCGCCAGCGAGCACGTTAAAACAGGAAACAGCAGTGGGTTGGATGGTCTGAGCGAAAATGAGACACACGAACTAAATTGCACCATCTCCAGCGATCCAGACTTCATTGCACCACTACATGAAACCACAATCGATTCTGAAGATGTTATAAACAGTCATGCGGGTCCAGGAGCCACAGTCGCTAGTGAATCTTTGCATAGCTTCATTGTCGATCACGAAGAGCCCAACTGTAAGCAAAACATGATTGACACTGAGTGCGACAGCACCAGCACCAGGTATAGTCCCGTTACAACTAAAACTCAGCCAGGTAAACTGAATGAAATAGACGCTGATGAACTCGTGGATCAGTTTGATAGTCTAGACTTGCATATCAACACGTGTGATTCTGAGGCAGCAGGGAACGTCCGTGAAAAATTGTCACCTAAAAATCTGTCTGAAAATGTCGTACCAGACAATGGCGAATTGAATCCACCTACAAACATCGCCGACCTGCACTTTGACCAACATTTTGAACATGGAAGCGAAGACGAAAATTTTGCAAAATCGCGACCACTTAGTGGAGCATCGCATAATGACGATGAAGAGCATTACGCTTGTAAAGGTGAGTCCGCATTCCACAGACCAGTGACTTATATGCACTAGATGTCAGACAGTGTCAGCATTGCGAGGAACATGGGAGACAGTAGCTGCAGCTAGTGAGTCATGCCAGCGTTCAAGCGTGGTGTAATAGCGCTAAGTGCAATCGGACTTGACAAATATCAGTTATTCACATATAAATACCTGGTATTGATGTAATTTTCATGACATATTTGCATGTTTCTTCTTTCAATTTTTAGATTGCTTCATTAGAATAAACACTAGAAGCAACGCTTTTACATAAAGATACGTTTTCATTATTAACCGTGCGGCATACGTACAGTACCAAAGTCCACGGATTTCGATTGCCGTTATCAAGCAAGCTAACGATCTAGCAAACCTCTAATGTTGTTTAGGGAGAATATTTCTACAATTA